AATGAGACATGAAATGAAGGCGACCCAAAATAGAGCTCTGACGTGCTTTGTCTTTCTCCAGATACTTTCTTCGTCTTGAAGAAGTTGGTATAGGAGAGAGAGACTTGGAGAAAATGCATCCCCATCCATCCCGAGCATCAAGTAGTACACAATTTTCACAGTGAAAGTAGTAGTAAGACTACTTTCACTCACCGAATAGGATTGTAATGCTAATGCAATATCATGCCTGCAAAAATTTCGTTATCTCTAAGAAAAAGTTGTTTCATGTCCAATTTCCTGGTTTTCGATATTTTGTATCAAAAAATATATGATTTTTCCAAGAAGGGCGAAAATATGGGTGCAAATAGCATCGTGTAACATTGTTAGTTCTGTGATACGAACCAGAAAAGAATAATCACTCAAAAAAAATCCAGCTTTCACTTAAATTCATCATTATTGAAACAACTAGTCGGAACAAATAGGCAAAATTACAAGCTTGAAAAACATAAAACAAATAATACTTAAATAAATTCTGAATTGAATGACGATCGGAAATATAAACACGGCGGGCTAAAAATAGGAAAAAATAAACAATTCAACAACCCCACCAACCAGCTAAAGAAAAAAAAAACTTGCAAGTTTGAAACAACGGTTTAAAAATATATTATTGTTCCATTGTATCGCGATCAGGGTTAAGTCGTACCTTTGCAACTCGCCAACTTTCTCCACCAAGCCAACCAAACTTCAACTTCAGCTGAGACGAGAACAAAAGAGTGTGAACTAAACTTAACTTGTAAACGTCGAGTCGAGTTGGCTTATAGTTTGACTGGAACAAAGATTGAGTAGTCGTGATGTTAAAGTGGAGAGGAAATCTTGCGGGTGAAAGCCGACATGTTTTACTTTGTGTAGGTGTGAAATAGCATAGAAAATCTTTTATGTACGTATCGTTGCCCTTGAAAATAAGGAAAAAGATCACACTTTTTTTTGTAGTAAATTGAAATATTTAGTTTCAAAATATATGTAGAAGATTCAGCTAGCAACTAGTGAAAAAAAATCGGCACAAAATGAGATACATTTGTACCGTGACCTTTAAAATGTTTCGAGAAATAGATTCCATTGTAAATAGATACGATTCTCCCCTGAAATTGTTCAAATATTGGTTTCCGGATATATGTCAAAGCTTTCCTCCAACAAAGGTTTGCATTTCCAATCGTAATCCTACCTAAAACCTCAAGTTTTGCTATGTAAATCTCCCAAATGGAGGAGGAGGAGGCAGAGGTCAACTTTCTACCCAACGTATAGCCTATTTATCTCAACGAAACCCTTATTCAAACATGTTCCCACGCATTGGAGGAGTAGCACAGGAACGAATCGTGGTCGTCAAAGTGGTCGTGGTTAGCGTAGGTTTAGAAAATAAAATCCCACTGAATTTCGATTTATTGGGGAGAAACTTTGTGCAAATATGGCGTGAGTGGTCTGGGTCTTCCAGTTGAGCTTGTAAAATCATGGTCATTACGGTCGACTGATCATTTAAGACTGCAACCCTCGTCTCGTCTCAACTGAATTGTAATCGTCATTAATTAATCGTAACCATTCGAAACAAGTTTAAACCATACTTAGCCTTGACAGGCACATGTTGTACTTTCACCCAGCACCACTTTCACCCACAAGTAGAGCAATCCTGCCTATAAAAAATGCATGTTATCACCCCGAAAATGAAGTGAATGAGACAAGATTCATGATACTGGGTCGGGTAAGTAAGCGTCCTTGTCTCTCTTTTTGGGACGACCACGGTACCACGTTTAATTGAAGAAGGGGATGGGATGACGCAAGGTGGAAGTTGGATGAATCTGGGACATAAATCTCTCACCTGGGTCGAAGAGATTCTCCTGTGTCTCCCTTCGCCTGGTGTTATTACAACTTAAGCTAGCTTGACGTCATTATCTATCCCAGCAGCCAGTCGCCCTGCATGTGAGGCTATGTGCTTCGTCCCAACGTTCTTGTTCTTGGTTCTTGTTCTCCCTGCACCTGGACTTGTGCGGAAAGAAAGTGGTGGCCGTGGACGTGGTGGTGGTTTGGTTGGTGAGGGTGCTCTTGCTTGGTTATCGGTAGGTCGTTATGCGGGTCGATATCTTCTCAACCTGTTTGCTCTTTCCACACCACTTTCTCTCTCTGGTCGGACTCCGTCTGGGTCCTATCCCCAAAAGAAATCGAGAAAAACTTGCGGTGGTGAAAAGAACAAGAATGTCGGCTCGGTCTTTTCTTTTCTTTCTTGATGGTAAACAATATGTATGTACATACGCGACACATTTTTTATTGACGAGCGGATATCGGAAACATGAACTTTTGAAATTCTGTCTTTTTAAAATTCTGTCCATAATTTCATATTTATTCATTCGCCCACCCATCTTCCCTTTTTCTCACACTACTTGACCCGTGAAGCAGGTGAATGAAAGGAGAGAGAGGAAAAGATACTGCTCAAGTGGATTTATGGGATTAATGGAAATGAGAAAAGGAACCCGGTTAAAAATAGGAGGATGAAAAGAAGCCTGTTTTAAAAGCATTACCAAACTCTTGCTAATATAATTCAGAGCGAGATTGTGATTTACTTTGAAGAAAGGATGGAAAAAGTGGGCTGAATAAATAATGAGCATCTCCTCCATCCGTCTGTGCACGATTTCCTTATACAGAAAAAATCCTCTCCTTCTCTCCGAATGTATTAAACCAGTCGGATTTGTTTTTCCCGATCCATTTTCCCCAGTCGATAGGGTAGATACGCTACCATCGCACGTAGGTATCGATGAAGGAAAAAAATTGATGAAAAAAATACTTATTCGCATCAGAAATCATCATCCCACCAATCAAAACAAGTTGTTCAAGGTCTCGAATTATTACTTACTTATCTTGAGAAGAAGAAGAAGAAATGTAATCTCATTAATTTCCTCAATACTAATAATCTCATTAAATTTCCCAATTGGTAAAGAAAAAGAATCCAGAAATGTGGTGGTGGAGGGCGGTTTAATTAAGAGGACATTGGACTTCTCGGTAGAAGATGAGAGATCATATTCATCTCGGAATGAATTGGATTTATTTAGACGCGTTTTTATACTGAATGTGCTTATCAGTGGGTGCGGAAGCTGTGGGGACATCGGGGGACATTAAGACTGTAGGATAGGGGAGGGAGGGGTTTATATAACATGGGGAGATGATAACCGTGGGGACATTGTCCCTCTGTCCCCTCAAACTTCCGCGGCCACTGGTATTTGCTGCCTTGAGCTGGTTTACGATTTCGCAGGTGGCAAGACATACCTACATATATGTAGTTTACTATCATTACCACCAGTGGGTGGGTTTGGATGGATGGATACGGCGTAAAAGTAAAGGAAATAAAAATGAGCGCCGTGGGGAGTACGTACAGCGATGTCGGAAAGACGTGTGAATTCCGTCTAAAAATAGGAGGGAATGAGCAAGAAAGAGAAAGTGATATCCATTTGTTAGTCGTTAATGAGTGTCAGGCTCTGGGTCTCGGATGGATCCGAGAAATATGGAGATGTCAAGTCCTTTCTCGATCTCCTCCTCCTCGTGTATCTAATCAACTCTTATTTCGCTCTTATTTTCCACTACTCACTACTTTCTCCCGTATGTATCGACATATTAAAAAAAATACGCCCCAAATTATATTTTGTGGGTGTTGTTGCTTTCTCTTTAGGTCGTCAAACTATTTCCGTGGCGTGCCCTTTTTTTCTCACGGGTCATTTTCCTTTCCCCCTCTTAAAAAACAGGTGATGATGATATCGTCATCATCATCACGCCCGGATTGGTCATCATGGAAGGCGTTGTCTTCGCCCGGGGGAAATTATTCTCTTGTTCACAAACAACTTTCTTTTTCTCCGTCACACATTGGAGTGCGGCCAAAGCGTCACTAGATGTTAGAAAAGTCACCAGAAAAATAAATTATCTTTTCGTGTGTGGACTGGAACTCAGAGTTGATCAAAAAGTGGACCGCTTTGGAAAGAATGACGCAGTAGAGTTTCATTTCACTACTTTTTTTTAGAGAATTTCCGATGGATTTTTTAGCTCGTAATTTGCCAAATCTTTTTAGACAACATTTCACTTCGTATTTGCATATATTTATTATCTGCATCATGATTAAGTAATATTAAACCACCCACAATCCAAGTCTAAAGTGGTTAACGGAAAGATGAAAGAAAGTATGTACGAACGAGTACGTGGCCTGTCACTCCTCCTCAGTTCCTCTGCGGGGTGGAATGGCATAAATAAGCAGGTTTGAAATGCACTATGACCTTTCACTTCTGCTGCTGCGGCTTTCCCTTCTAATCTAGAAAGAAATGAGGGAAAGAGTTATTTCTCAGATGCGGTTAGAATTATATAGATTGAACTTGGTCAGCTCATTTATTCGACAGGAGTCACGATTTAGATGAGATAACCCACATTTTTTAGATAAAAAGTACTGCTGAGCGGGCAAATAGGATATAAAAAATGGTTCCATATTTATGTACCTATTTGTTGTTTGCATCTTGAGCGATGCCGTAGGAGGAGGAATTTTGGAAAGAAATGAGATTTTCTCATTCACAAGAAATGCCAACCACATTATGCGTAAATTGGGAATGGACTCACACTGAGGAGGTTGAGAGTTTGTCTGGTCTGCCGTGGGGGAAAATATGTCTCAAATTTTGCTTCGAGATTTATTTTTGAGGAAGAATCTCACCAAAGCGTCAACCAGACCGGTCCAGTCTGTACGAGGATGAGGGATGAGAAATGGAAAAGTGTGGGAGGGAGGCGGATGTTTATTCCCAGATTGGCAATTTGGGAAAAAATCTCGCCTTTGCAGTTGAATCAACTCGCTTGGGAACTCTGTCAATTTGAATCTTACGTTTTGATCTGGATATACGTTTTGATATGGATATGAATATATCTTGTTGAGTAGAACATGCATAAAAATTCAGGCCGAAATTTTATATACTCATATTGTACATAAGTAATTCTTGCTGAACAGTTTATTTGCTTTCTCTCCTTACTTTTTATTTCTTCTTCTCGTGACTAAAATTAAAAGGACAACAATACGCGGAAAAGTTGTGTTTTAATTATAATGTATAATACCCTTGACTTAATTCCGTCCCAAGAGGCGCAATATGCATGACAAACGAGCGTAACACTTGGAATCTCTTGAGATCAGGAGTTTCATTCAGCACACAAAACAAAAAACTTGGAATTGTTAATGTTTCATAAAAAAAAGTAACTGTTTCACGACGACAGTTGACCTTTCCTCCTCCTGCGCTACTTCTTCTGCTTCTGCTGCAACTTTCTCCGAGATTCTTCATACTTGAGTTGTTGGCGGAGGAAAAGTGCATTTTTAAGGTAATTTTGAATAGACAGGAATCGATCTTGTGATTTATCTATAGATTTCACCGCCCTGCAAAAAAATAATATTTATTTCGTGTAAGGACCGAGCTGCAGTTTTGAAAAGCAATAAATATTCATAACTAAAACTCGGGTTGGGAAGGGTTGCAACATGCACAAGCTCAATATAAACGGAGAGAGAAAGAGAGAAAGTTTATAAGGAATGCATGAGTATAAACTATTTATAAATAGGGTACCAAAATTATTCCTCGATTTACAGGAAGAAAGTCAAGTCATGAGAATGAGATACCTCATTTCTCCAACTGCTACTTTCTCTTTTTCCTTGATTCAATCCTCCACGAGGTAACCTTAATTATTTAGGTTTCACATAATTGCGAAAAGAATATTATTCCATTACTATTCGTACCAGGATCATGAACCAACCACACAAATGGCACGAGATACACACATATCTGCCCATGACTCCAACATGTGTTCGTTCCTATGTATGTATAAATTTAACCTTCTTTTCCCTCGGACCACCTAATTGTTTACATTGTCCATCCACCACCACCACCACCCGCACTAGACTTTACCAGGTTTCAATTACGACATACTTACTATTTGACAACAGAAAACCGACCAGGCCTCCTCCTGACATCAGGCCTCCACGTGTTTATTTATTAATCAATGGGCCTAAATTATGAGCCAGTTTCCGAATTTAGTGTGGTACAGTTCTTTTTTCGTACCGGACTTTCACCAGAAAGTCAAAGTTGATCAAACCCGAAGTGGGGTTATGTTACAGGAAAAGAAGGAATACTACTAAAATAAAATACATTTCGGACATAATTAAGGACGAAGGCGAGTGGAAAGGAAGAGGCCAAGGCTGAACGCAAAAACATCCAATTTTCCTTCCCCTATTTAATATTTGTTTTGGCAAAATCGAATAATCTTAAGTCAACTGGTACTTAGAGTTGCTCGCTCCTAGTACAACTCACAACATTCCGAGAGACACGAGGACATCTTCTTGGCAAACATCACGGAAAACTTGCTCCACCGCTAACTCGTCCTGCCTGTCTCAACAAGGAGAAAGATAGAAGAAAGTTGTGTTTTCCCAAGTTTTAGATCAAACGCAATGAACTTTTTTTAGACGGAACCCATCCTCATTTTCTAGAATAATAAATTATTCTCAGAGTAATTTTAACTCTTATAAATGAAATTTACAAGAAATGTGAAAGGAAAATAGTGCTCTGGCTGTATTTATGTGGCCGTCATCGAGCAGAAAATTCTCCCAATTTCTTCTCAGATAAATATGTAATGTAGGTACATCGACACCACGAATAACTGACTTATGTACTGCAGTCACCATTCGCTATCGAACCGTTCAACCGGAAAGAAGAGGACCTTCAAGGAGACAACAACTTATTTTTTCGCTCTATTTTTATCCCAACCCACTGTTTCTTCTTGTTCCAGTTACTTACTTACCGGTAGAAAAAACATGGACTCTCTCCCACTTTTCCAGACCAAATGAGTCGTGTCATACTTGTGAGAGAAAGTCATCACATAATTTTAAGATCAAATAAAACGAAGCGTAGTCGTCTGAAGAAGAAATTGCATTTTCGAAAAAAAAACTCGAATTTTCATTTCATTTCATCTCTCTCTCTCTCCTTGTCACCCTTGTTTCTTGCCCAATGGTTTTTATGAAAATTGTGTGTGTGGGACACGACACGACACTAAACTAACCACTACTCAACGATCTGTAAATGCAAAAAAGTACTGAATTGCCCAATTGCGACATTTCATTCCCAAAGGACTCCTAAGTCCTCATCCAATTTCCGCCTCTTCATCTGCTCCCCACACAAAACAAAATCTTGTGTGAAGAAGCAAGAAGGGAACGAAAAGCAGAAAAAAAGTTAGTTTAAGGAGACTCTCTCCGACGTGAGCACTCACTAGACAACAATTCAATTTGCCAAACCTTCTTAGGAATAAATAAAGACAGACTTTTGGGAGAAATCTTCTTCCCATTCGAGAGATGACCCATGACCTTCCCTTTCCCTCAGTAGACAGACAGGCGGACGATCTTCTCCCGGAAAATATATAGTATTTCGTTCGTGGTGAAATTGAAACGACGCTGTTTATTTAAACATTCAAAAGTTAAGTCTACCAAGAGTAAGTTAACAGGCAGCTCAAGTACTAGAGTAGCATCATACTTACTGAAGCATCTTTATCCTTATTTAGAGGGCTCTCTAGGAGAGAAAAGACCCTGTTTTATTCAGAGGCAATTGTGACAGGGAACACAAATGAGGCAACAAAACTCTCACCAAGTTATGTACGCTATCTTATTCCTGAAAGGATACTTGCTCTCCACAAAAGTGAGTATGAACAACAACACGACTAAATAATTCCGTGGTTGGTTTTGAGGGTTAAACTTGCGGGATAAAAACCTGTAGCATGTACATTTATTAAGGTAATGATTACATACATACTTGGTCCAGCAACCATTTCCTACACCCACCCACATACCTACCTATTTACGTACGTATGTACATACACGTGTAATGGAGAAAGTCGAAAGATGCTACTCATGTATCTCACCTCTTTCAATGCCAAATGACCAGAATAGACCATCACATGACGACCACACCAGGATACCGATTCTGAGAAAGTGTTCAACTATATTTTCGCAGTAGGTAGGAAAATAAAAGAAATTCTTCCATTTTCACCAAATCAAAGAGACAGGTGAGATGCATGACAGGGACATGAGCTCGCAGCATGTCACAAATCAAATAAATCCAACGTGACATATCTGAAGGGCATATAATTTACTACCAACCAGAACGGAACTCCTCCTCTCTCCTTCCACGAAGGGAAAGAAAGAAAGCAAGAAATAATTTATTAATTGCAAACCCTATTCAGAACGTGGCCAAAGCCAAGCCACGCAATTGGCGACGAGAAGTCACCTAAATACAATTTCATCATGAAAGGATGCACGAAAATCTAAAAATCAACCCTTAAAATCAATAATCTTGCCAGGTCAAGTTATTAATATCGACTCGAAAACTGTACTTTCTAAAAGCAAACATTACCCGGGATAAATTATGCAGCAAGACTAAATTACGATATAATTGTCATTTACTTACTACACAGAAGCTATTTTTGACCAGTACAATAAATAGAATTACTTAATATGTATGTATTTACTCCTGCGATATTTAAGTTCTGGCTGGTTGACAATAATAGCAGGATAAAGATAGCGGCTGGGAGGGAAAGTTAACGCCGTGGTGGATACGTACATAGATACAAAATTATAGTATTCACAGCAGTTTATAGGAGTAGAAGTGATGGTGGTTTGGAGTATTTTGAGTATTAGAGTGTTTGAGTGTCAATAAAAAATTCATGAGGGAATCCATATACAATCTACAGAAGAGCTTCTTTACTCTCTTTCTCTCTCCCTCTCCTTTCTCCTACTTAACATGACATTCTCTAACTTCCGACATGACAAGACAGCAAGAAGTCCGTCCACGAGAGAGAGCAAAGTCGGTGGTGAAAGTAGGCAGAAAAAACGCCCCAAGAAGAACCCTATGTAAAGGCGAGACGTAGTAAGGTATGCCTGGCTACTTACTACTAAACTGAGGCCGGATGAGCATAAAAATTGACGGAAGTCAGACTATGGGCGCAATATCACTATCAATATCAATAACCCATCCGGCATAACATGTAATATTCATGGTGCAAAAAAGGGTGAATGGGTTCACATTCACCCACACTTTGTCCTCCGACTGGTACAATCTGGATCAACAGAGAGAGCCGTTCCAAGAACTTTTAACGTACATAAACCAGGTGAAAGGTGGCTGTGTCATGATTAATTACCCAGTAAATTAATCAACTAAATGGCAATCTTGCATAAAACGTTGAACCAAACTGCATAATGATATTTTCTATTAAAAAAAAACAAAGACATAAAAAACTTTTAAAAATTTCGTACAACGCACAAGTTGAAATCCATCTCGTCACGATTTCCAGTATAAGAAACTCTAAATTTAGTCCTGTAGTAGGAGTAGAAATCGAAAATTTATATGGGCACGTTTACCCTTCTTTCATTCTTCACCACAAATACGACGTGGAAATCATCATCCATCCGTGTAAAGTTACAGACAAGATAATACCACGTAAAGTAAAGCAGCAATAAATGAAACATGAGTAGGAGGCCGCAGCACCAAGTACAAGGTGTGGGAAGAAGGGAACATAAAACTAACAAAAAGGGTCTTTAATAATTAGTGAGGAATACGACCCCTCTCGCCACCAACGCATCGCTTTCTCTTACCCGATCGCATAGTCACAGTCGTAACAAGTTCCTTGCAAAAGTCTGTGCTGCGTGGTAAACTCGTTCTTTTGACGGATCATATTGGGAACTTCTTTTCGCACATGTTCCTACAAAAACAAACAGACATGAGAGAAAGCCAAGAAGGAATTTTTTGATACAAGTACTTAGATATCGATCTCTCCCATTTTTCAAGACTTGCACACACATCACAAATTATGTATGTTCTTATCAGGCTTGCAATTCTATTCAATTTTTTTGCAACACAATTCTTGATTTTTTTCTTGTAAATATCTACCCACCACCACCACCTTCTTTCTTTTCTATGATTTAGTCAAGTGGATGGATGGATTGGATGGATAGAAAGGTCTTAATTAAATGCAAATATTTTTCAACTTCTCAAAATAGAACTGAATGTGAATTTTTTATCGATTCTTGTCTCAACTGTTGTTTCAAGTGCAAGTGTAAGCAAGCAAGCCATGAAATGAAGCAATCTTTCTATGTTTCACCTACCTGAATACAATAGAGTGCTTGGGATGGCTCATTCCCCATGATGTACAAGTTTTCCGAGAGTCGACCAATCGCTGTGTTGACAAAAGTAACAGAATAAATGTGATAATGCTCTTTCGACGTCATTCATAATATGAAAAAAAACAAGTTATATCTGGATAAGTAATGCACGTGGTGTGATTATATATTTATGGACGCCTCCAACATACATACATAGACCACTTAATTACTTTCACCTCCCAGACAGGAAGGAGTCTAGGTACTGATATAACTACACGGTTAGCTAAATACATACCTGCCTCTGATACCAAAACTAACAGAGATAGAATCAAGCTGAAAAAATAGGTGACTTATTCAAGGCCAATTTTTGCGTCACTTTTTTATACCCAAGACTTTGGGGATACATAGAATTTTCTCTTGCATCACTGTACTATGACGGTTTACTTAAAAGGAGGCAGGCAGCCAGGCGGGTGCGGGTAACATCGGTGTTATAATAATAATACTCTTCCTGTGTCGAACGGTACGAAAGAGAGAGAGAGAAAAAAACCAATGTAAATGTTAATTCGACTTCGAGTCGTTTCACATCAGATCTACCTCCAGTCCACGGAACGAAATGCGACACGACAATGTCGCCTTATACGCAATATATTCCCACATATCTATGTATCCACAATTGCAGAAAATAATGATGCCACCGTGAGAATAGGAAAGTAAAGTAAACCGTCTAAAAATATATGACAAAGTTCATGGAGAAAGTGCGGCCTTGTTTTCATTCAGTTTGGTTACGACGAGTCACGACATAAATAAATGAGAGACATTCTGATGATATTTTGATATAGATCTCTAACTCTCTCCAATCAACTTGAACTTTTGTGGGGAACGTTCGTTCCTCCAATTGTGTGCACAGTTTACTTATTTATGCGAGAAATTAAGTTGAGTTGGACCTTTGATAGGCGTGTTTGGAGGAGTAAAATGATATCACGAAATGCCAAACGACGACATAAACAATGAAGTATTTAGTTTCAAAATATTTTCAGTTTGTTTGAGCTAAATACGAATAAATTAAGGGTAAAAATACGACAAACCACGAATACTTATACAACTCGTTTGTAAGTAAGGAGTGAATGAATGAAAAGCTATATTTATTTTGTTTTAATCATTACAATCTAATTTAGTCAATGTCGTCGTAATCAGAAATGGGACTAAATCACAAACAAATAAATCAACGTAACGGAAACAGTTTTATATTTTTGGAACTCTTTCTAATTATTTTAGTCACGGAATAATACAGAAGATTAGCCGTATTTTTGGGAATCATTACACAATCTAACAAACTTACTCCGTAATTCTTATAATGACATTAAATTCCGAAAGTTGTCTCAATTCTACTCTATTTTAGCACTCAATTAACTAAATATCTCTATAAACTTAGAAAAATTTGCACAATTTACTTACCTCTCCTACATTTCGCGTCGCTATCTGACGGGGATAACATTCCTCCAGTCGAAGAAGTTGCTGCACTTCCAATCGAAGGATTCTTCACCCCGTCAATACTCATCGTAGCAACCTTATCAGGAAATACCTTTGTATCAAAATTTCCTAAAGTAGTTCAAAATTTCCGTATATTTTTTTGGAAAACTGGAAAAATAGAATGTTTACATCTCCTGATGTTTAGAAGGTTTGGTTGGCGGTTGAGCAAGTTTGGGAGAAATCGATGGGAGAGTTGGGTCTACGGCGCATTCTCACTTTCTCCTCCGGGAACGACTTTCTCCGGGATAATGGTAGCGAAATGGGTCGTGTTGCGTTGATAAGTCGACATGATAAGGTTTTCATTTAGTTAATATTTCACTATTTTATTTAACACGTATCCTTTTGTAATTTTTAACAAGAAAAAGTTTTCATGATAAGCTCAGCACTCGTTTATTTCGCCTTGGGCGGAGACGATTTCTGCAACCCGTTGAAGAATTTGATGGCATCCTCCGCAACGACGTCGGGTACTTCGAAAGCTCCGAAATGACCGCCTTTTGACCCCATTGTGAACTGCTGGAGGTTGGGATACTTGTCCCTCAGAGTGAATTCAGGGACTAGGGCTAATTCTTCGGGTAGCATGAGGCACGCCGCTGGAACGGTGATGGGGACACTGTAATTTTTTGGGGAAAATCTGTATGAAAAATTTTACAGTTTAAAATGTAGTTTTACAACTTACCTGTCCATTCTGTGCTTCTTGTTAGCAGTGGCAAATTCGGAGTATAATCGCATTGACGATGTGACAGAATTTGTGACCCAGTAAAGCATCAGATTGTCCAGGAGTTCGTCAAGGGTGAATTTCTCGAGAAGTCCGCCATCCTCGCGATCAATTTTTGACGCGTCGGTCCATGTCGAGAATTTTTCCAAGATGTAGGCTGCCAATCCACTGGGAGATTGAGACAGGGCGACGCCTAAAAGCATGCAAACTTTAAATACCATCGCTTTTTATGCATGCTAATATTTACTGACCAACTGTGTCCGGTTTCGTAGCTTGAAGATGAAAGTACCCAGTTTCTCGGAGTAGGAAGGAGAAGAATTTGGATAAGGGAAACATCTTATCGGCAATTACAGGTTCGGCTAGATACGATGGGAACAAAGAGGTCAGCATTAGTCTCGCAGTTCCTAGTGGATGCATACTACTGCACATGGTGGAATGAGAGCCGAGCACGCTATGAAAATATGAGTGCAAAAAATTAGCACATGCATTTCCCAGGAAAAATATGTGAACACGGTTACTTTTCGGGATAAAGTGCCGCCATATCAGAGACAATAATGGCCCCCCAGTCTCCCCCCATAATGTAAAACTTTTCATGGCCGAGGCGTTTCATCAGTCTCAAAAATATGTTAGCCATCGCCACCGTGTCCATTCCTGGGCGGTGTGCCGCCTCCGAGAACCCGTATCCTGGCAGGGATGGCGTTATGACCTAATGATTTCGGAAAAAGTTTGCAATTTTATGCATTTGAAAGTCTAATGCAATTTCGAAATTTTTTAGATTTTTTTACCTCGTAATTATAATCAGACTTTTCTGGGTCGGTCAGCAGAGGAATAATTTTCTGAAACTCGACAATCGAACCCGGCCAGCCATGCAGGAGGAGGACTGGCAACGTCTTTTTGTAATTCTTTTTCGACTTAATTCTCTGAAAGTGGATATCAATTCCTCCAATTTGCGTTTTAAAGTGGGGAAATTTGTTCAAAAGTTGTTCTCTCTGCTTCCAATCGTACTTGGTGGCCCAGTGGTTGAGCACTTTGGGGAGGAAGTTGGTATTAAAGCCATACTCAAACCCGACCCCGTCCAAGGGGGGAGCATACCGCTTCGAGTCCAGTTCAGATTTCAGCCTCGATTTCAAATCCGTAATCACTTTGTCGTCAATCTTAATTTTAAAGTCGCGAACTGCGGTATCGTCCGCTTTCTTAGAAAGAGACGCCGGTCCCCAGAACTCATTTTCGACTTTGGGCACTGGCGCAGGCACGAGGGCGAGATACGCGACGTAGGCGGAAATGACGGTCGCTAGTAAGAGGACTAGTTTAATAATAAACCCCATTTTGAGAAAATGCTGTCTTTTACAGTGTTGATTTCACTGACATAAACAACTCAGTACTGACAAATTAATTTATACTGGGGCAGCCGGCCCATGAAAACTTGCACTGTCACGAGCACAATAATTGGTAGCAGATTAAGCTTGGAGATAATTCTGTGCCATGGAACGTATCTAGTGGACTGTGGATCTCCACTTTTTTGTGATACATAAGTGATCCAAGGTCACATGGTTATACGGACAGACTCGCTGTACGAGGATAATGATGATGATGATGGTACGAGATGAGAAAAGAGCAATCTCATGCTAGCGTGCATGTAATAAGTACGGGTGGCTGGGTAGATCTGTTGGCCAGTTTATGGTTAGTTAATGATGAGGAAAAAAAACTGTTCAAATTACTAACACTAATATGAAATGGGTATGAAAGTGTGGCATCATCATCATCGCCTTGCCATGCAGTAGCACGCATTTTTTATGACTTTCCTTTCCTGACATAATATTTATTTTATAAACAATTGTTTGCCATTGTTTTGAAATTAATATTTTAACAGCAATATTTATTGGTTTACGGTTTGCCGAAAAAATATGTGTATGTAAATATGCTATTTATAAATAGAATAGCATGAAAGTGTTCATGCATGGGCTGGATGACAGATAACAATTACTGGGACAAAGTTCACTCAATTATTGGTCTGAAATTGAAATTAAGTTCCACTTTAGGCAGTAATTCGTTACATGTAAATATGCAGAATCGGTGTTTACTTTAGCTTACGTAGTAGCACAAAAAATAAGACCGTGTCATTATCACAATTACTTAAATATGTGCCCTTTAAAAGTTTGGACACTTCTTCTGGACATAGAAAATTAGTAGGTAAACAATTCCAGGAAAAAATTCTTGCCCTTTTAATATCCATTTCCATGCCCTTGAGTCGTGTCACTCTACAAAGTCCGAGAAAGCAGTGAGAATATATCAGTGGCCGGGAAAGCCGTGGGGACATTAACATTGAAGGATAGGGGAGGGATGGATTTGCATAACATGGGCAGACGATGGGGACATTGTCCCTCTGTCCACACCCTTCCGCGGCCCCTGATGAGAATATGTATACTAAAAAACGATACAGAAAAAAACGTCCCCACGTGTAAGGGACACGATATCATCAAGTAATGCGGCTGGCATGAGATAAAATAGGATTACAAAGTTAAAACCCAATCACCAACTGCTAAATATTTTATGGTAAAGTTTTTTATACACAGAAAGTTGCCCGTGATGCCGTCTCTCTTTCTCATTTCTCGGTTTATCTTTATAATTTTTCCCATTATTCAAATACGAAGAAGAAAAGTTTGCTTTGCGCCTGGCGTTTTCTCCAAGTTTTAAATGTTTAAATGTGTTAAGCGTCCCGTTAATGGTGAAACTTTTTGGGAAACCCAATATTCAAAATTCTTTCTTTTTCCGTTCCCCAATCTCAACTTTCTTGAGGGAATAAAAAAGTTGTGTTGTGTGGACGGCTAAACGTCCACCCACACCGAGACCAGACCAGACCAGTAGTGGCACTTTCTTCTTTTAACACTCATCATCTCATCAGTTAAGTTGACTTGACGAAGACAAATGACAAGATGATCCTCAGCTTTCCTCCTCCTTTTCCGAGTCGACTTTAGTGCTGACATTTCGACCAGGCCAGGCCAAAAAGTAGCCTGGGTTTGTTGCGGCGGCGGTGGTGGTGTGGGTATGCTTTAAGAAATTAATCCCATTAACTCGTCACTTTATCTAAGTTTAGGTGACGTTTAAAATATGTCTAGTCACTCAGGAAGGAGAATATGCTGTCCCCATTGTACCATTGGGGTTGACATACTTATCGGTTTACATAACAGTTAATTTTTTATAAAATGACCTAGTTTTTCGGGGGGAAATTTATGAAGTGGTGAAAATTGTTTGGACATTTTATGGCCTGTGGTGGGTGTCCATAATATAGTACGTGTTACTCCATATGGATGTATCCATACTTGTGAAGATACGAGTAGATAAATGGGGAGAAAATTATTGTATAATTTGGCACACATTATGTTATGACCAAAGTGTCAACAGGTCGTGATCTATTTTTTACATAGTTTTCACCACCTTGTTACATGTGATGATCGTCTAGTAAATTATTTCCTACTGGTTTACTGCCTTCTTTGTCTACGGCGATTGCTTACTTACTTTCACCGTATAAAGACGACTCGCTTTCTTGCATCGTGTATAGAATTTCGGGCTCTTTATTAGAATGGTCAATGGAAGTTGACAATTATTGTAAAATTCACGAAATTTCATAAAAATTTGAAAATATTTTGATATTCCATATGAGTTTATTTTTTTCTAATGGAAATTTTTTAAAAATTGAAAAATTTCTCAAATTTTGAAGTCTTTTTTAAAAATCGCCCTGTATTACAAGAAATGTTAATAAGTAATCCTCTTTACGAATTGAAAGATCGTACGTCCTTCATATTCCCACGTGGCTGGTTGGCTGCGTTTTGAAATTTTAAAGCGATCCCAAACTTCTCGTTCTTCTCCAATAGATTGCTATCTCTTTCTCAATTATAGTACCTGTCTTAAAGTCAAATTTATCAATAAATACGCTCCCAATTTCTTATTGACTCTTTGAACAAGCATATAAATATATCCATCATTTAAGAAACCCAGTCCAGTCACACAAAACAAAACACATCACAATAATTCCCTCAAAATGCTTCTAAATTCCATCAACCTGAAAATAATAAGTGAAGGGAACAAATATTCTACGATCAATCAACTCACTTAGAATTAAGACAAGCCCAATTTATTTAGATGAAAGCACAACACAACGCACGAAGAAAGGTATCGCAATCTTATCAACTATTTATTTATTCCTTCTACTTCTTCCCGTGGATGCGGCGGAGTAGAAGTTAAGCAATTTATAGAACCACCGATATGACCACAATTATATACACTGCTGTACTTAATAACCCACTAGTCATGCCTCAAAACAGAACACGGAAGGAAGTAAACAACGCAATATATAGAATAAAGTGACGGAAAATAGAATATTCTCAGGAGAAATGAGCTATTTTCAGAGGTAAATAATGTGCCAATCTTATATTTCGTTGTTTGAAAAGTAAGTACTTAGAAAACAAAAACTGGTACGATTCGGTCGTCCAGGTCCAGTCCAGTTTACATAAATAAGTATTTATACATACGCCGCCTCCTTTGTGTGTGTACCTTTGTTTACAAAATGTCAATGTCACAAATGATTGGAAATTGATTGGTCTCTCCCGAACGTTACTTTGCATGAAAATTTCAACAATTATTCCGCTCAGAAATGTTATGCCAGGTCATGCAGCTTATTCAAGTTACCAATCTTACCAGCTTACGGATACCTATTTATTTAATGATTTGCGTCAACAGGATCATTCATGAGGGGAATAAAATATTCGTGCATATAAAATAACTTCCTCCCCGTTATTACCACCCATTACACGTAACTAACTAACTTGGGAATAAAGCTTAATGATGAGAATTAAGCTTGGTTGGCCCAGTTTTCCGTCTATATTCTGAAGAATTTAGTTCGTTTACGAGGACGCGTATATATTTTATGTTTTTGGTCTCCCTCCACCTGTCGATTGTAATCCGGAGAAATAATCCTCCCTGATTTGACTCGAGCTGTCAAGCTGAATGTCAAACTGTTGTCAAATCAGCACCCTTACTGGGGAATTATGACTGCAGTAATTGACCAGTTTATATTTTGGGTTAATTTAGCCACGTACGTACGTCTTTATAGGTTCGAGGGAATGACGACATTTTCTCGCCGGATGCGTCAAACATGTCAATTACTTATTTTATTATTGATTGCATACAGGATACGGGGCAGGCAGGCGGGTTAAAGCGACCAATTATGGACGTAATACGTACACAGCCTTAAAATCGTCGTAGCTTGAAGCAACACCACTTTTTGAGGCTGTAAATAAAATACATGTACGTATAAAATTGATGTTAACTTGTTACCAGTGGCCGCGGAAGGTGTTTGGGGACATTAATATTGTAGGATAGGGGAGGCAGTAGTTTATATAAGATGGACAGATGATGCGGACATCCAACAACCGTGGGGACATTGTCCCGCGGCCACTGCTTGTTACAATATTTCCCCATTTAGTACACCCGTCATTACATAAATGTTTTATAGTGGTTAAGCGACGAAGATGTCGACAAAACCCAGTGGAGAACGACACACCCTTGAGAATTTATTCGCCAAACGACTTTCTCCCTCTCCATCCTGTGCAAATGGTTCCCCAAAATAGAAATCTGACTTCAAATTAAGACCAAAATGGGAATTTTTGTTGGTCGAGATTTATTGTTATCGTCTATTTTAACCCGCACCCCGCCCACAGTGGCAATCGAGATAAACAAAAAATCCCAGCGTTATGCATACTTTGACTGCATTTTGTTGTATTCATTCATTTATTTTGCGTTGGGTGGGGGGTTGAACTCTTTGTGATTTTATTTGTATCCCTTTTATTTCGCAGTCTCACTCAGGACACCACTTAGACCAAAAAACATTAATTGCTTTTTTGCACGACACTGCTCAACTAAAGACACAGCGGTCAAAGTGGTGGGCGAGAGCGCAGCAATCCAGTTTAATTAACGCAATCCGGAAAGATTACAAAATATGTTTGGTACGTACAGTGGCCGCGGAAGGTGTGTGGGGACATTAATATTGTAGGACAGGGGAGGGAGGGGTTTATATAAGATGGGGACATCGAACAACCGTGGGGACATTGTCCCTCTGTCCTTCCGCGGCCACTGCGTACGTACTTTCTACCGAGAGAATAATGGTTCACGAGTTTTGGTTGTCTTCCGCTTTTTTGTGAAAGCGACATGTTCACAAAGCTTGAAAGATTGTAAAAAAGTGGAGCAGGGTTATTATTGGGTGCACATTTTCGTAGTACTTTTACTTGTATGTATGTATTTATTTCCCTGTGTCAGACACAATTAAGTCTGGACGTGGTCTCAGACAGGCAGATTGTGGAAGTAATGGGATGTTTTTTTCTCAACTAATAATACATAGTTTGACCAACGAGGAGAAATGTGGAACGATAATTGAATAAGAGAAAGCAGATTTGTAAATATGTATGTACATAAAAAATCGGTTCCAAACCAAACCACCAGTTTCGTTTAATAGGCTTTAATTAACACAATTAATAAGCACTGTCAATACTTTGCCTGCGTATTTACATGCATTTATTTATTTATGTATATGTCGATTAAACATGACAAACTGGTCGTACCTATTTTCATGTGCGCATTTGTCCCTTGTTGACGAAAACACAAGTAGTCATTTGCTCGAGGCAGCCAAGATGTGATCTATACTTTTTGGCTGGCATCTATAAAAAAAATAATTCCTGCGAGAAACATGGATATCCAGGACAATCTGATTAATCTGGAGATAAGCGGTGGTGGTGGTGGTGGTATTTTTATCCTTATAAATAAATAAGTATGTACATACATTCATTTTTTACCTGTTACATACATACATGCCCACCTGAGTGGAGTCATGTATTAATTTCTGCCTTGTTTTAACTTGCCCCATGGGGAAAGTAATGTAATTTCCTGTATGATTCCTTAGTCCTTGGAGAAAGTCTAGGAAATCAAATTCTGAAAAAATTCTTCACGGAAATTAATCTCAAAATATTTCCCGTCCACTTTTCCCCAAAAGCCTTAAGCCCCCTAATCACTAATTAGTCGATGAATTGCATTTCATGTGGATAACATACATATACCTTGAAAATATGACCTTTACCAAATCCTGACCTCGCCTTATCGAAGTAGATATTTCTTTCACGATACACTCACATAGATAGCAAACGTAATTAAGTATCTCTTTCAAGAAAATTGCGGAACTTCCTGGAAAAGAAAGTCATTACGTTTTGTTAGGAAATTAAATTAGAAATATTATCCACCCAAATCAATTAATATCGGTTTATGGGTAAGAATACCAATGAGAAATCAAAAGGTCAAGCCAAGCCAGCCGCACAACATGCCATGTTTTCTTCATGTATCAGTAATTGACTCCAACTAATTGAACGCAACATAAAATTAATTCGGGTCAACTACACCTACCTTTTTCCTGGTAGCAATTAACCTTTTTGTCTCCACATCGTGCAAAATTCTCATTACTTATTCTTCCCTTTTCGAGAAAAGGAGACGATCTATATGCACACGAGACGGCAAGGTTTTAGTGGAATGAGGAATAATCTCCGCGCTAATCCTCCTTCAAGAATGAACTCATCTTAGCGTTATCTCAATATTGACGGAAACAGGGCTAACATAAGCCGGCGCTACTACCCACTCTAATTTCCAGAGACATTTTGCCTAATTAGTATTCCACTTGGACATTGTTACATGATACAAGTGCCTCTCTTCTTGGATGTAAAAGTGTACATTATTTTCCTTCAAAATTACGCCATACCACCATCTCAAGAACAATTGAGGCTTGTCCGTAATATGTAGAGTGCAGACCAGTAGTAGTCACGCAACATGGCAAAATAATGCTGTACGTATGTATAAGCTCGTAACGTAACTAATTTCACTCAACTTAAGAGATCTTCGCCTGACATTTGATCTCGAACGGAACGAAATGAAGCGAAGAGCTAAAGACAAATGACATTTATGTAACGGGATAAAACTGCAGTTTCTTCCTCTCAAATGGCCAAAAGGTCCACATTCACACACAATGCGGACAGAATTATATAACGACATCATACATATTGTACATAGATACAGTGGCCGCGGAAGTTTGTGGGGACAGAGGGACAATGTCCCCATAATCTGCCCATGTTATATTAACCCCTCCCTCCCCTATCCTACAATGTTAATGTCCCCACAGCTTCCGCGGCCATTGTACCTACACACACACACCACTCCAGCCACGGTGTCACTTTCTCTTCGTCGTCTTGGTCGTCGTGAGGGGTGGCAAAATCACAAGATTGGCTTAAAAGATCTAGCCACGCCATTAAGTGGAATGCACACAATAAGTGAAACAAAACACTACGAGATGTCTACACTAATGAAATAAATAAATTGGATTTGCTAGGATATTTCTTTAACGGGTAGGATGAAATGGCAGCTAAAACTATCCTCTCCTCCAGGCGAAAGTGTCCGTCAGGGTGGATGGAAAGTAGTGAAAGTGACGGGTCTCTTCCTCCTCCTCAACTCATTTGCATAAACTTTATCTACGCTCCAATTCGTTATCTGGACCAATGTGTCTAATGATAACACACTTTTGAGAAGAAGAAGAGTGACATGGCATGGCATGACCTTATCCAACGGATGGGAAAGTTGACCCCTTCATGCTCCTGCTGCATGCATGGCCTTTTACGCTTGCTTTTGCTGCACTAAACTAAACTTGCCGATGCAATGGAAAACAAAATTAATACTTTTTTAACACAATTTTCAACCTTAACAATATTTTATCTTCTATTTTACAGAATGCCCCCCAGCGGAAGACGGCATGGAAAGATTTGCATGTCCCACGCCTGATAAATTAGGTCGTTATCCATGTGTCGATGATCACGTCCTGTGCGATGGCTTTGTCGATTGTCCCGGTCGCGAGGATGAGGACAGGCAAGCCTGCATGTTTTACAAAACGGTGAGTTCTAATTAAAAACTTTATGATGCAACTATGTATTTATCCTAGCGGAAAATTGTGTAGTGTGCATTTTTCACATATTCTACGCCTCCTTTGACCCTCTTATTCTTCTCTCAATTTCACAGACGAAGGCCCATTTGGACGTGTTGGCAGACGCCTTACTAAGATGGGCGAGAGGTCGGCGCTAAACGACACGAAACGAGGAAACAACCCAACCCATCGACGACTATACATAGCTAATCAATAACAACTCAATATTTGTAAATTTCCGACCCACCCATAAGTACTCATTATCACTCAGAATCGATAACCAATTTTCCTACATATTCCCCTCTCCCGTCATAAATACATCCACCCACCCACCCAAATTCAATAATGGCTCAATCAGAGCACAAAATATAAAATTGTCGTCGTTGACCAGACTGGGTCACTAACCAACCACCAGCTTCGTCTCACATACATACGCGTCTCTCATGTCTCGCCATCGTCAAAAAATCTGGATGGGCCGAGACGAGAAAAATGACTGAAAACTATTTATCTCCCACGTGGAAAGAAATTACCTCCCACACGTCCCCCCTCCAACACTCTCCTCATTAAACAATATGTATATTAAGCATACAAAACTATTCAATGATGCAACTAATTTGACATGCGGGTAAAAGAAAAATTTCTAAAGTTGACGGGAAAAGTTACACTTTTCGGCATGATGAACACAACGTGATGAACTACTTATACATAAAAGGATAGTTACATAAGTGTAGAATATATGTAATGTTAATTAAGTAGGTTAGGTGATAACTATTTCAGTTACATACATGTTAGTTGTAGGTAAAAGGATACCAATTAATGGGGAAAAATACAGGTAATTGTAATTTCTTGATTTATGTATCTAACCGGCGAAAATTTGGTTATACAATTTAATATTGTCATGATTATTGGATGTACATACTGTTTTAGAACAGAGCTAGATAGCTACCGTTAATGGATAGGTTAACCTGTTTGCATAAAGTAATAAGGGGGAGAGGACACTTTGAAGGGGGTGGTTTTTGAGCGTCTGTGTGTCAATTTGCGGATTTAGAACCTATCTATTTAGCTACAAATATGTATATACATTCTAAAAAATAGCCGTTTATGAGAAAAAGATATGAGATTTTTAAGTTTTATAGCTTTACAAGTATCAAAAAATGGTATACATAGTGCGTGATAGATTACATGGGGAATTAGCATAATTTACGGTAGGAGCTACATAATATGTAGATTTTTAGGGGAAATAATCCCAGTAAGAAACACCACCACAGCAAAAAAAGCCTGCACATTTGACTCACATAATCTCGTAAATTTACTATAATTACAAATGCACAGCACACACTGACTCAACTTAACTGTCCATTTTTGCACTTCGAATTTAAAATTCTTAAAATTTAAATTTCGCAAAAACACTATTTAAAATTAGTTTAAAAAGAAGAACACACTCAAAACCGTCTCACTTATTGAATGCACTTATTAACCTTAAAACTCTAAGATGCACAAGCTATTAAATAATTTTAGGAAATTACTTACTCACTAAAAATATAGGAAGAAAAAAATTGGCTTTTTACCAAAATTATTTTATTACTTCTTTTTATTATCAGTTCAGAGGAAGTGAAATAAGAATCAAGTCAATCGACAGACTGAATTTTCGGAATCAAAAAATCAGTAATCATATGAAAAAAACTACTTAAAACTTGTGTAAATATTTGTTGTCCAATTGATGATTTAGCGGGTTAATTAATTAATTAAGTATACTTAATTAATTATTAATATTAATTACTGAATTAGTCTTTAATGAAGGATCTTTTATTAAATATTCATCCTTCGAGCAAAACATCAAGAAAACAAGCAAAAATCACTGAGATACAATTTTAGGTACAATTCAAATTCTATTTTAAAGTTGAGATTTTTGCATGGCATGGCATCCTGCAGTTTGTAGAATTAAATCAAATATTATGAGGATACACACGTAGCGATTACTTCTTCTGTACATAAAAGTTTTTTCCTTTCCTTTAAACAAATGAGCAACAAAGTATTATAAAAAAGTGTGTATAATATTCAGGGAAAATCAGATACTTTTCTGTGAGGAGAAAGTTTTGCGAAAAATTGCGAAAAAAGGTGAGATGCGAATCTGAATCTTACAGTGAAACATTTTGGAACGAAAGGTGCTGCTGTTGCCGAAAGTATATACATAAAAATATGTAAATAAATACATAAATAGTTGTTGGTCGAGATTGAGATTAACTAATAAAAGTGATCCATCAATTCAATATACCTCTCTGATAGACTTTTCCCTATTAAAATTAGCCATTAAATTAATTAATAACCCATCTACCTACTTATCTATCCAAAAACTACAAATTATCACAGGCTACTTTATCCCCTCATCTCCAATTCCATTTGCCAGTAATTTGGAGAAAATTAGAACTGAATGGATGGAGATTCTTGATTTAAAACGATATTTTATATCTCTCTCTCTCTTTATCTCCTTGTCTCAAGTCAAAGTTTTTGATTTTGACTCAAGAAATGGGAAATGAAACACTTATTTTGTGAAAAGGGTAAAAAATTTATCATTAATTCTCTAACCCAAAAAAGAAAAAAGTATTTAATATATATTCTCTCTCTTTCACTCGGTTTAATAATTGATGTACATACATACGAAAAAGATTTATGTATTGTTTTGCTTCTTCTTTCAAATATAATATTACACGACTGATGGACATTTATTGGCCTAAGGTTAAAGAATTACTACCTTTTACATTTCCGATATTAAAATATTAGCTGTACTCTACTTCACCTTTTGATACCGCTTTTCTGAAATTTATTAAAATATTTTATTCAATTCCAACGCATAAGAGAAAAAAATATTTAAAAATGTAAGTTTAGATCAATTTCTTCAGCTTTTATCGTTGGTTGTGTGTCTGGTTCGATAAGTTGGTTGGTAAGATAAGTTTAAAATCGGAGGAGGAATAAGAAGAAATTGGACCATGAAAAAGAATGTATAGGAAATTATGTGTCTGCTGAAAAAAAAATAATTCGTCAATGCAAGTGTGATCCTTGTTTTGGTACAAATGTCTACAAAAAGTTGAGAATGAGGAGACATATGTACTCTCAAAAATTGTCATCTTTTTTGAACGTATCTATGTGCTAAATCATTTCATACGGGTGGACAATGTGCAGAAAATTAAATGTGATTATTACAAAAAATTAAGTTTTAAATAGGCTAACTCTACATCTTAAATATGCTAAGCAAAAGCAAAAGCAAGGGAGAAAGGAGAGGTGAAAGAATTACTAAAAATATAGCAACAAATTACTTGAGAACATTTCCTTTTCAAATTCTGCGTCTCTTATTTTTTCCTTAATTTTCGCTAATTCCCAAATAGTTTTTTCGTTTAATTGCCAGTCATCAGTTAATAAAATTAGCTAAATATACATGTACAAGGAACATATATACATCTATATATTATATAAAAATACTACTTGGAGGCTGAATTGTGGTAACTAGAAGATATTTAAGTACTAGAAAACTCCGTAAAAAAGTTAAGAATTTCAACTTTTAGAGAGAAGAGGGAACGAACGCAAAAAAATATACCTTCAACAAGACATATCATCATCATCAATTTCACCATTACAGTTTTACTTACTGAGGAGAAGATAAGCAAAAAAAACTACATTTTACCCGAGGGCGTGGTGGTCTCAGCCAGTGATAATTATTTACAGCAAGTAAATTGCAGCATACGCTTACTCACTACTTGAGTAGAAAAAAATGTGAGGGATGGTGGTCTGGTGGAGAAAGCGGCCGGTAGGAGAAAGTAAGTAAGAGAAAGTATGCCATCATAATCATCATCATATTAAAGAAAAAGGAATATTATTATTATCGATAAGGTATGTAGGAAGGATTCCAATCCAAAAAAGTATTTCATTTTTATATCCTCTTCCGTTTCCTTTTTGGTCTCACTAAAAAAATTAATCTGACACGATTTCGATAACCGAAAACCACTCACTAAAAACTAAAGATAAAAAAGAGCAGAATGATGACCGGTTTGGAAATTTGGTGCGTTTTAAGAAAAGTTGGTGCATATTTAGTGGTGGTGGTCGTTTGGTTGGTGGGGGTGGTGGTGATAGCTGAAAAATATTTAACAGAAAAATATACAAATAGGTAAATATTGCGTTATGTATATCTACTTTAGATATGTACTTATCTACATATTTGCATAGCGTATGTATGTATGTAGCGTATGTAATGTTGTACCGTTAATTAATTAGTCGTGTGATGGTTAAGTATTAATTAAATACATAGGTGAAATTCTATAGGAGTAAATTACAGATATTGTGCAATAGCAGTGTATAAATATGGTAAAAAACTCATCGATTTGATGTAGAAAAACGAGCCAGTAGGTTTTATGATTGCGTATCTACATACATATGTTATTAATCAATTGTTGTAAAAGGTACACACTTACCATCATCATGTAATAAAAAATGAGGAAGAAATATGATGTTACTTACTTGACTTTATTACAGGACTATATATTTCTAATCGTTGCGATTTTGTTGAACGGGTTATTTTTCGGTTATTATTTAGCAATAGAAATTATTAGATTAAAATACATGTCATCAATTTCATGGTTTATCGATTGGTTTGAACCTCCCCCAGTATAATAAAATATCTACATACTTACTTACATAGCCACCATCAGATCCCTCCAACTCTCCCGTGTTATTATAATCGTGCATATTTGTGTATATATAAAATTAAGGGTTATAATTAGTTAGACATAGTTGATGATAGTATAGCCGATTTTTATTTTCAAATTCAAACATAAGAGATAATAAAAAAATGTTAATAATATACATCAAAACCGGGTTTGTTCGCGGAATTTTTTGCGTATTTTGTATACTTGCATATGGCATCTTTTTGCATGATGAAACATCAACCTGGTGGTAATTATATACAGTTATTACATACATACATATGTAATGAGGGGTACTTAATGTGATCGGTCTGTCTGTCTGTCCGTCCGTTGGCACGATAACTTTCTTTTCCATTTTATTCGCACATCACGTTTCATCTTTTTGCATGAAGGAGCATTAACCTAGTGCTAATTATGTTCATACATTTATCACAGAGTAAAGAAGTACTTAATGTGATCGGTCTGTCTGTCCGTCCGTCGGCACGATCACTATCGATCAGGTCAACCGTTTCAATTTTTTCAGATATCGACATCGACATCAACAAGTTTTAAAATAAGATGGATTTCGACAACCGAATTTCTAACTCACACCGCCAGGTCATTGGCCATAAAACCGCTACGTTTCCCCTACTTCATTACATCCGTTGCTGTATGAATGAAGTCTGCAATTCTCTCTGTTTTATGAGTGAAATCTAAATCTCGAGACATAGAGAATCCATTAGTTAGTTGAAGGAGTGGTGGTGTTGATGGTAAATAATACGATTCACTCTCTTAGAGAGAAAGGGATGAATGACGCAAATGGTGAAAGAAGAAAACGTTAGTGTTAATCGTTTTCATTAATTCATTGTTTTCATAATCTTTACTTGTTCAACTATTTTGAGACACAAGCGAGAGAAAAGGAAATAATTTAAGGAAGGTGAACCTGCACCCGACATCATCATTGTTGGTCTGGTCTGCGTATATCCTTCCTGTCTGGATTTCACTAACTTATTCATCACTCCACAAATAACTTGAGGCTTTCTTCGTTAAGGGAAAGTTGGGGAAATCTGAGACCATTCATGAAAACGGGTACATGTGCAACACCACCACCCACCTACATGTCCGTTATACAACCAAGGTCATGATTTTTTTATTCGATGCAATAATACTTCCTACTCGCCTAGTTCTAAGTAATCTAATCAAAAGAAGGAGGAGGAGAAAGTCGTCATTATTTTACCCTTGCAATTTTTTCGCAATTTTTTTTGCATGACGCTGTATCGCAATTTTAAAATTGCGTAATAAAACCGACATGCTTGCTGAAAAAAAGTGCAAGTCCACCTTGGAAAATCAGTCATTTATGACGATCCTGCATGTTTTATGCGTTGCAGACTTTCCCCTAAGTGCGGAAGTGCTCATTGCTCATTCATGAATTCAAATTCGAATTTCAACTTGAGTATCATGCAGTAAAGTCGAATTTGGTTGGACCAGGTTGTGAAATCTGATGCAGGCGAGACCAGTGGCCGCGGAAGCTGTGGGGACGTCAACATTGTAGGATAGGGGGAGGGAAGGGTTTATATAACATGGGCAGATGATGGGGACATCGAACAACCGTGGGGACATTGTCCTTCTGTCCACACTCGTTCCGCGGCCACTGGTCGAGACACACAAATTCCAGAAGTCAGTGATAGTTTTTCAATTCTGGTAGAGAATTGTACCCCATTTGATATCGGCGAGACCAGAGGAGTAAATTAATCTAAATACTGTTGATGTTGTCTTGTCAGTCATCCCATCAGAAATGAGCAGGATAGAATATGACGTTCACAAAGTAATTGATTTACCCCGCAATTATTATTACTCTCTCGCAGCTAAAGTTAGCCCGGAATGAAATAGGACGACGACTACCAGCTCATGACGAATTTATGAATATTCATTAACTAAGAATGTACCTAAATGAAATTAAATGGTATCATCATATATTCTGCCAAAATACGTGGAGCTTCCGAGGTGAAAGTTTCATGCATATCGCACTTGTTGTAGCAGACAATCTGCAACTGTCAGTACGGACGGAATCGACTCGTGTATTTAATTTGCATAGACTGCTGTGAAGAATTATACGTTACTTTCTTCCTCACTTTGTAGTATGCACTTAAATAAATGAGATGATGACACATTCCAGCATATTTTGGGCCACCCCGGATTTAGTAGAAGTTGAAGGCCATGATTTGAAACATTTATTAGTTATGTATTGTACATAAATGCCATTTATGCCACCTACGCAAGTTTATGTGTATAAATTTCATTTTGCAATTGGGATGAGTTTTTGCCAAAAAATGTAAAATCTAAAATTTAGCAAAAAATTCTAAGTGCAAGCAGATTGGTAATTATGAAACCAACCACACGTGCAAATTGGATCATGTAAAAGTATGTGAATACATTGGTCAAGCTACACTATTGGTGATAATGAACAACCATATTTACATATGTACATTGACACCCGATAACCCTCAAGTGTGCCAATCAAGATATTTGAATTTGATAAAACTGCCATGATTTCAGCATTGATGGAATAGATAGCAAAATTATTATGACAAATAATAGATTTTTCACTGAATTTCTTACCACCTGCGTCAAATTTTTTGTGCGGAATATTTTTGACTATCACATGATTCAAGAGGTTATTTATTATTGAGTAAGATACTGAGTAAGCAATGAATATGTATGAATTATTGATTGGCAGATGGTTCGATTACATAATTAAATGATTACGCCAATTACTTAAATTATAAAATTCATAGAATTGAATCCATTAAAAATGAGTCAAGATTTGTGCGATTCAAGTACATGCACATGTGTAATTAATCTAACCTACTGCAGGGGTATATAAAGGTGTCCGATTACAAGCATAAGTCATCATATCAAACTAATACAGAACACCTTTACATTTTCACACAAGTAAAAAAACAACACAAATCATGAAGTTTTTGAATAATCCAATTTGCGGATTTTTCCTCATGTTCATTGTCGCTGGAGGTAAATTATTATAAAATTCTCTTTTTTTACGAGCCATACAAAATATATTAAACCCATTTTTTGCATGCATGGAATCAGCATCCGCCAGCATTTTGGACCGACAGGTCGCTACCGCTCCTGGAAAATCTGTGCAAGATTACATGATCCAGTTGACCACGGAGTCCTTCGAAGCTCGGCCCTGCTGTCCTGGGTGTTGCATCGGATGTCCTGGATGCCGTTGTTGCTGCGCCTGCTCAAAAGCAGAGTTTTTTGGCAATATGACCTGCAAATTGAAGGGGTCCACTTGGAATAAAAATATCTATTATGATTTTTAATCATCATTTAATTTGACAACACTTTTTGTTTCAGTTTATCAATAAATACAAATATGTTTATCAGCATTAACTCCTTTACAGCACTTTTTTTTGACAAAATCTTATAAGTGTCATTTAATTTGTATTGTCGGCCGGTATCATTTTTAAATCATGTGTGGTTTGTAAAATAAGACACAGCATAATTTATTTCAAGGCATCACGACCTCGAATTTTGTTTAAGGAGACAATTGAAATTTTGTAGTAATTAATCGCGTTTCCGACCTTTTCAGGCACCGCGCACATGCACTCTCATTTAAATCAATATTTTATCAATGTCATACAATTTAGAATTGCTAGTATCGAATCGGCTCGTGTATTTAATTTCTATAGACTGCTGTGCAGAATTATGAATCATTTTCTTCCTCATACTGTGAATTTGGTAGGTATGTTCCCAGTCTAATCGACTCAATGTGACTTATGTACCCTTGAATGCTGGTAAATTGAGGTACACACAAATATCTAGTGAAACGATAACACGTCACGACTAACTATTGCTAGTCCCATTAACCATGATTTAAAACATTAAATACCAATAAAACATACTTAATGATACAACATAACCTCACGACACAATTTCATCCATAAATGGATTTAATCCGACATGACCACGGTAGTGCTAAGAATTTAATTGTTTTTAATTATCAAAACCTGTAGAAATTTGATAGCCAGCAATTGACTGCGCTAAAGTTTACAACATTTTAGTAGTTATGTCCCTGCTTTCTCCTCCCTCCCTCCCTCCTGCCGACTTTCTCCATTATTATCTCTCTCTCTCCACCTACACACCCACATGCAACTCCACCGAGAGACCTGTGTCTTGTCATTATTACATCAAAGGCCAGGAGCACGCTGTTCGAATATAAGTAAAGGAAAATGTTGACGATAAGAATAAAAGCACAGCAGGAAGAAAGCTGTGCATGCATGTGAAGTGAACTGAACATGTGCTTTCTCCAACCAATTTTTTCCCTTGTTTGTGTACAACTTTTATCCTGCTGCTAAAGTATGTATGAAAAAAATGGATAAGAAAAGCGCTAAATGCCAAAAGAGAGCTTTTGAAGATATTTTTTTATTTTATTTACAAAAGCAGCAGTTCTCTAGCTCATCATCATAATCAGGCATCTTCTTTCGGTCTTTTATGAATCTCTGGCTAATTTTATCATCACGGTTCGATATTTCCCACTCTGTTTATGAATGAAGTGAAAGGTTAGTTGGGCTTTAATGCTTTTATGAATTGACTGACATTTAATCTATCCAGTTGGAAATTGGCGTTTGCTTACATAATTCTAAAATTAGTCGGGGAGGAGGAGACCATGGATGGATGGATGTACGTACACTTCTAGGGAAGAGGGCTATGTATGCAAATCTACCTGATTCAGTCGGAAGTGCTTTGGTCATGATGATGATGACGTCGTCTTCATATGAAATGTAATGTAATGAGTGTATCCAGTAACACCGCAGAGTTGGATAAGTAAGTAGCACTTATCTATGTGCGTATGTAGGTAGGTATTGCTTCATACATGCATATAGTTAGAAAGGTAAATAAGTAAATGTTGGTTCAAATCATGGCGAGAAAACCGGGTGATCCTGCTGATGCTGCTTTTTTGGGATCTCTAAATGTATGTAGATATGGTTTTCACTTATCAACAGTGGCCGCGGAAGCCGTGGGGACATTAACATTGCAGGTTTGCATAACATGGCAGATGATGCCGACATCGAATAACCGTCGGGACATTGTTCCTCTATCCCCTCCAGCTTCCGCGGCCACTGCTCACCAACCACCCCCATTCACCACAGACGGA